AATTAATTGTATGATTTAAATTATTTTCTATTTGATCCTATGTGTTTTGAAAAATTTAAAACTTGCCCTCAAGTTTTGAAATTTAAATTTTTGATTAAGAGTTTAATTTGAATTATTTAAATTTCAAACCCTAGAATTTTACAACTTTAAAATTCAACCTTATACTTTATATATTATAAGATTAATATATATATATATATATATATATATATATATATATATATATATATATATATAGGGTTAGGTTATTTTGTTTTTACTAACTATTGTGTGCCAGAATGCGCAGATCTGGACCACTGGATGGAATAGAATCAAAAATCATGATCTGAGGGTCTATGATATTACAATAGGGTAGCATGTACCATATAATCACACAAATTTCAGCATATGGACATTTTAGTCAATTAAGACAAATTTAAAAAAAGAAAAATCGAGATTTATAGGATAATTAATGATTTTGATTTAAAAAATCTGATTTTTTTTCAAATTAATTCAATTTCAAACGTAATTTGTAAGCATATACCGATTTTATTATATTAGAATGTCATTTTGTTAGAATGATATTCTGTAATTCTGTCAGAATGGTATACAACTACGAACATAATATTATAAACACATATTATCAAAATCAATAATTTTTAATTAATACAAATGTTATATAAGACGAAGTTTAATAGTTTAGAATAAATAATTACATTCATTCTTAAAGAATGCAACTATGAACATAAATTACATTCATTCTTGAAATCTCTTGCAAAAAAAAAAAAATCGGCATTCTTGAAAGAATCCTCATTCACTTTCTTGTTTCGTTCCTAGATGTCTTGTGTATGTTTGACCTCTAAGTTACTTCAAAATATCTAGCATTCTATGAGATTGACATTCTGTCAGAATTGTATTGCATGAGAATCGTTTTATAGAAGGAGCTGCAAAAGGAGATAAACTCGAGGATGGTAAGTGATCCCTTGGCAAAACTTGAAACATCTGAAAAACATAAGAAACAAAAATCATGTTAAAACATCAACCAATTGCAATACAACCCTTGCAAAATCATTCTTATGTGATTATACTGGAAATACAATTATGGCAGAATCATTCATATGCGATTTCCAAGATGATAATACTTCCCACAGAATATTCTTAAAGAATGAAATAATTATTCTTACATAATGAAAAAATTGAAGATACGAATAAACACCCAATAATTATTCTACAAAATATTCTTATGTGATTTCCAGCACTTTATTTCATAATCGAAAATGATTCCCTCTCTTTCAATATTGAAAGAAAATGAGAGTAATTCTAAATTTAAAGTAGGATAGAATAACATAATTCACTGTTTTTATTTTGCTTACCTTAGGAGATGAGATGCACAACAATAAACATTCCATCGCTAACCATGGATACAATCTGAGATTGCCATATTTTTCTTTGGCATTTCATCAAACACTTTAAAGACACTCCCTAAATCACCACATTTTCTATGAATCATGAATGCAAAAAAAATCCAATTCAGAGCCATCCACATCAAATTCATATGAACAACAATACATTTCAGCACCATTATAAAAATCTAAAACTAAAAGTTGAAATTGTAGAACTTTGCTAGTTGGAAGAACGAAGAAAAAAACCTGTTTTCTATGGAATGTAATTGCAAGTCTGGTAAATTAAATTGTAAAAATCTCTTTGACCAACTATTGGAGATAAAAGCTAGCTTCGATTGGAGATGGGGTCGCCGAGAATAACATCTTCATGTTGTCAACGAAATAAGGAAACAAATTTGCAACCTCTGATCCACGACTTCTTCTTCATTCGTCAATAAGAAAAGAAAATGGGAGGAGGCAGAAATAGAACATGTATCATATGAGAGGCTAGGGTTAAATAATTGGTCAAATAGATTTTTATGGTAATTTCCATGAATTAAGAGATTTTATTTTAATTATTATGCTAAAGTTACATAGTTAGCCTTATAATAATTTTTATTTATTTAATTATTCCTAAATTCCTCTTGGTGCATTCATGCACACAATAGTTGCTGGAAACATTTGAACCTAGCTCTCTCTCTCTCTATATATATATATATGTATATATATATATATGTATATATATATATATATATATATATATATATATATATCAAGGTTGTAAAAATCACTCGACGTTAGCTAGTCGTTGGATTGGGGTTGAGGGATTAATCGGGTAGGCGGAGATTAATCGGAGGATTAATCAGGAACCATTAATTGCTAATTTGTTAGATTTTAAAAAATTAAATATGACTAATATCATATAAAAGATCATAAATACTACTAATATCATAACAAAATAGGTTAATATGATAAATACAACACTAATCATATCTCAAAGAGTTTCTGTTGAGATATAACTTCTTCAAAGTGTTAAAATTTCATCGGGTTCTCTTGTTTCAGTCATTGTGTATGCAGGGATTAAGCGCTAGACGCCCTTTAATCGGTCGAGTAGCACCTAGGGATTAATCAGAGATTAATCAGGACCTAATCGGGATTTTTACAACACTGATATATATATATATATATATATATATATATATATATATATATATATATATATATATATATATATATAACTAAAACTGCTAGTTTTGGATAGTGGCTCTTTTGAGGGTGATGGAGATCAAAGGTGCTTAAAACCCTAGCCTCCATATCCTTTATATAGGGCCCAAATCCTGAATCTTAGGGTTTTGAACCCTAACTGTCACTGCGCCGTGGTGAGGGGCTAACCACATCGTGGTCATTAAATGAATACCATGTTGTGTTACAGACCCTACCAAGTCGTGGTGTCAGGAAAATCCCAAAACCCCAATGATGCGAAACATAAAACTTATACCTAGAAATCGAAAGTTAAATTGTTAAAAAATGAAAGTTATAATAAAGGTTTATTATAAACTGTTCTAAATTTCTTAGGACAAAATCTATAAAAATTAATATTGTTTGATTTATTTGTTTTTGGTTAAACCGTCATTTTTTTTCTAGTTTTAAAATTTTGATTTTTTTATGTTTGTTAAAAAAAAACACTGCTTGAATTCTACAAAAACAACCATTATAATTCGATTTTTTTTTCGATATAGCCCTACAAAAATTGTTTTTATAATTTAGCATGATAGATTGAAATTTTGAAAAAACATTTATTTAGTAAATTTGAAAAATAATAAACTGTCAATGGTTAAATTGATAAAGTATAAAAAAAATTCCAAGGTTAAACAAACAAAATTTCAAACTCAATGATTTTTATTTAATTTGGCTAATTTCTTTTAACGACAAATAAAACTGTTTATGCATATTTTTAAGAGATGTGAACTTACAATTTATAGACGAACCTTTTGTCACATAGTACTAAGCAAAATAGGTGATGGTGGATGACATCTCTACTTAGTTTAAGATTTTGGGTCACCCAATGATTAAAATAACTAAATTAAAGCATAATTATAAGGGTTTTTGTCTGGATGTTGAATCCCTTTTTCTGCTTTTAGAGTGAAACTTTATTTTATACTGTCTTTTAATGTTATCAGGTGTCCTTAAAATGTTGTTAAGAGACACACATGCATCTTTATTTTGAAATAAAATATGTCTTTTGATATATACATTTCATAGTTAATAGTAACTAATTATCTAATATATAACATATTGTATACAATCGGAAGTAAGAGAGTTCAAAGGACAATATGCTATGCATATAAAAGGTGTAAAAATCTTGGAGAAACTTTCAAATTTTAGGTCGATCATAAGCAATACTAACCTTATATTTAGAAATATATACAATAAAAGTTTATCTCCCTTGACCGTGTATTTTTTTATCCGTACAATGGCATTAGTTGAGTGACCGCGACTTCACCAAAATGTAAGTAAATTTTTTGGAAAATAAAAAGGTCAAATTTAAAATTTACATAAATAATTCAATGTAGGTGGCATGTGGAGTAGATATCATCCGATAAGATAAAATTTATGATACAAAATCGAAAAATGACCCAAAAAGTTTACTTTTTTTTTTTTTTGGCAAATTTGTAGTCAATCTTTTTAAGAAGTAAGAAAAAGACTGGATTTGAACCAAGAGCATTAACCTATAGTCAAAGCTTGAAACAAAAACTACGGCCAAGCCCTTTTTTCTTTAATGCCCTCATCTTGAGTTTTGAAATTAAAGAAAGGGAAGAAAAGAAAATGAAAGGAAGCCTAAAAGAATTAATTAGTTGTATAACCTATGTTCCTTCTGTGGTTGTAAAATACAACACATTTTAAGGGAATAATAGTAAATTTTGCCTAATTCATTATTTCATTTCCATTTCCCTCTCAATCATATCACATTTGACCGGGTAAGGAAGAGTAACTGAACATGTTCTTTTCTGAATAATTCATTCTTTCATTTTTTTTCTCCCTAAAAAAGCTTAACATGTTTTTTTTGGGATAATTTGTTCCTTCATTTTTGTCCCTTAAAAACATAAATTTAATAAACTTAAATGCATTATGGATACAATTAATGGGCTCCATTACTTGAATGTTGATGCATCACAAACAAAGTCGTTAAAAGTTAAAAGCACTTGACCACGCTTTTTCCTAGACCAGGACCCCGGTGGTCATAGATGGGACCAAATATTTTCAATGGACAAGTCCTCAACCCGTGAATATAACAACACAACTTGAACTCTCGGTTATTTAATCATTAATTAATATCTAGACATGAATATTTTAACACTGTAAATCAAAACTCTTAAATATAACGGTGGTTAAGAATGTTAGCTGTTGGACAAAAGTTTCTTAACCGATGGATCGATATAGCAAGTGGTGGGAATAAAAGATACAAAGACCGATATTGATAATATACGTTTGGTTATAGATTTGATTAGATACGATGGGATGGGTGTTACGTTGTAATATCAGTCACTCAAACAAGTCAATAACTTGTTATACAGTACAAGACACCCTTCAAGTTTGAATCCTTGCACAAACGACACCAAATTTTGCAAATTTATTGTATCAACCCCTACAAAGTACTTGTCTTTCTTTATCATCACACACTATTCTTGAAGCTGCTAAAGAGCAAAAACCCATGTCACTTACGGTTTTCCTAGACTGTAATTGCTGTTGTGATGACCTTTTGCAATGTGCAATCGCACTTTGTATCTGGTTTTCAATATCAGAACCTGTGTTGATGCTTCTTTGTTGGTGAACCCGAAACTCATGATTAGAGCTGTTAGAATCACTCGAACTTGAAAACGATGAAGTGTTTGTCGTGGAAAATCTCTTGATCGCATAAGAGAATGATCTTCGATGACGATGTCCATCACCCTTTTCTTTCTTCTTCCCGCTGGTTCTTGGAACTTTGTTTCTGGATTCTTCCGCACTCGGTTTACCGAAGAAAGACCTTAGATAATCTCTCGACGCCTTTAGTTTCAACCCAATAGAAGATTGTTTTGTCAACGTAAGCTTTCTGGTCCAAGATTTTTTAGGGTTTTCAGCTGTACTATGATCATCAAGAAAGTAGTCTTCTGGATTGAGTTCCCTACTGACCTGACAAGATTCCGTAGGTGAAACATTGCATGATCGGAATGGGGTGTTTGCGATAGGTGTAGCGTAGGGGCTAGTGTCCAATGGGGTGCTGAAGAACTCGTCGAACGTGTCCATGCTTTTATCGTGTAGGAGCTTTTCCACCATTTGCAAGCGTGGTGGGAGATGAAGAGGGAGGAGTTTTCCTTTGTAGAAAAGTTCATCAGCTGGAGAAGTCGTGGTTAATTCTCTATCTGATGAGCTTGAAAACATCTGGAACTCGAACTCGCTTGGATTCGTGTGACAAAAAAGATTAAGAGTTTTGTATGAACTTACTTCCATGTCTATGTATTCCTCTTGTTCTTCTTCCTTTTCGACATCATCGTAGCAAATTGACCCTAAAATCGAATCGACAGCCATCGTTAGGAAATTAGGCTAGAGGATGTGGTGTTCAAGAGGGTGCTTTAGTGTTTAGAGAGGGTATTATAGATGACGAATGGTGACGAAGCTATTATATAGGACTGGTCACCTTCATATATAGACACGTCAAAACTGCATCTTTGATATGAATATTTAAATACATTGATTATTATATGTACTTCATTTTTCTTTGATCGGTACTATTTGAAATTACACTTATAAACAATGCTTAATCATTATACACTAAGTATCCAATATACATATTTCATAATATTATTACTAAGATGTACAAATATCACTAGGAAAAGCATATAAATATAAGTTCAAATAATAATTAAATGATGGCTGATGAAAAAATGTATATAATAATATAAAAAAGCATGCGTTGGTAAACACAAAATTGGAAACCATCCCATTGCTCAAAACCTGGTTTTGTGGTACGAGTGAAGTGAGGATGTGAAATAATGAGGTGGTGAGTGGCAATTGATCATATTATTATATTATTATTATTATATGAATATTAATATGAATAAAGAAAAGACGAGGAGGCCAACAATCTCTTAATGCTTTTGCTAACTTTTTACTGGATTCCTGCTTTGTTTTTCAACCGTCTATTTTGTCAATGGGTTTGTCTTGCATTCAACTTTGATTGGAATTAAATAAAAAAAATTTCGCTATTAACAAAAACGAGTTTTTTTATTTTTTATTTTTTATTTTTTATAATTTTTTTTAAAATTTTTTGTTTTTATTTATTTATTTATTTATTTTTAATTTTGTGTAAAAATAAGGCTTTTTGCAAAAGTTTTTGTAAGGCTATTTCAAAAAGTGATATTAACTCCGCGCGATATCAACTCCATTACAAGTTTCTTATCAAACCACTAAACTTTAAAAATAATTACCACTTTATTTTATTTATCTTTTAATCTTTTTAATTTGAAAAAAAATAATTTTTTTTTTATTATGTCCAACTCCAATCAAAGAAAATATCAAAAGCTTCGACCAATCATTTTGTGTTCTTCATCTCCTCTAACACTCCATTCCATCCCACAACTAACTCACCATTCCATTCCACAACCAACTCACCAGCTTTTGAAATGATTTATTGTTTAATTTTTTTAATATAAAAAAATTAATTTTTTTAAAATTTTTTATTATGTCCAACTCCAATCAAAGAAAATGTCAAAAGCTTCAACCAATCATTTTCTGTCTTCGTCTTCTTTATCACTCCATCCCATTCCACAAGTAGGTTACTGGGTCACATAGTTACCCATGCATGACTTACCCCTTTCATAACTCTTAGCCTAAAAATAGAATTATTTTAAAATGATAAGTAAAAAATGAGGTTATTTTATATTTTGGTCCCACCAAACATATATAACTTATTTCATTAATTTCAAAATGGACCTTCAGCTTTCATTTTTAACCATTTAATTCATATTTGATTTATTTATTTCTTTTTTCTTTTAAATTTAATTTAGCAACTTAATAATAATAAAATATAATATCTTAAAAATAAAACTTTGTATAAAATTAAATACAATTGAAAATATTATTTTAGTTTAAAGTCTAGTATTGTATTTTAAACAAATCATTTTTACACTAAATTTGATTTTAATTTATTTTACATCTTACATATATATATATATATATATATATATATATATATATATATATATATATATATATATATATATATATATATATATGAATTTGGATTGTTCTAAATACATTATAAAATCTATTAATTATTTTTTATAAGTTATATTATTAAGTATATTGTTTTTTAGCGACAGATAATCTTTGTTTTGGATATAAATATTCATATGTACTTTGTCATTTCTATCATTTACATTGGTCTATAATTTCGTTGGAGAACACTTACTATGTGAGGAATTATGGTGACTAGCAAAGTGAGAAGGTGAGCTTGGTGATGCAGAATGGGTCTTAATGAAGAATTTAACGACATCTACACAAATCCTTAACAACAACCCGCTCCTAGGTTTCACTCTATTCTATATACCATTATGAAATTTTGGTTAGATTGGGTGCATCATTTCCATGGATAGTGTACCATCAATGAAGAGTGCATTTACCATCTCGCTTTTTTAGTCATCATAATTCTCATTATGTTGTAGATTTTCTCCAATGAATAGAAGTGAGGAAGTATGGTTATGAAATATCCATTATGATTTTATTGTTCGGAAAATACAAAACTATGTATGAATATTTATATACGAAATTAAGACGGCCAACCTTGATATATGATCATAACTAAAGCAATTCTACTTAATAGTACACATACAAATAATGATCTCAACAATTTATTTAACTAGTTGTGAGACCTATATATATATATATATATATATATATATATATATATATATATATATATATATATATATATATATATATATATATATTACATAGATTAATTTTAAAAATAAAGATTAAATATAAATATCAAAATATTTAAAAACTTTGAATTTATAAGAAAATAAGAAAAATAATAAATTATTATAATGTAAATGTTTTTTATCTTTCAAATGTAAACAAATAATTTAAATAAATAAAAGAAACTAATGAGTTTTAATTTTATGAATTTTTAAATTAAAAAATAAGTTAATTAATAAAATTGATATCAATTTATTACTACATTTATTGCAATTATTATATATCTGAAATTTAATCAAATAGAAAAACTTATAAAATAAAATATGGAAAAAAAATAATTCAAAATAACCACAAAATGATATTTAGCAAATTGAATAAGAGTATAACAAATTGCAAAAAGATCTTCATTTATTAAATAAGATATAACTGATCATGAAAACACTAATAGATCTTATAATGTATTTTGAGAAGAGCACATACATCTAATTACATAAAATTTGGTGTAAAGTTGAAATAAATTAAAATTAAATTTGGCGTAAAAAGTAATTTGTAAATTTACATAATATTTTAATAGTATTTAACTTATTATAAAATTCAAATTTTTATAGTATATATAGCGTTCAATTGAGAATATTTTTTATCGCGAAAACATTTGAAAACAAATTTTGATAACACAATTTTTTAAATTAAAATCATCAAATAATATTAATATAAATCAAAAAATAAATAAAAAAGTTTAAAAAAACGCACTAACCAACACCACTCACCACCCAAACAATATTATTCACCACCACCACCCACCATTACCCGTTACCGCCACCCATCTCCACCACCACCCTCACCTACCACCCATTAAAAACATCACCCACCAACATCACCACCAACCCCACCCATCACTACCACCCACCTACTATTATGACCACCACATGTCACTACCACCAATCACCACCCACCACCATCACCCTACCTACTAACCACTAAAACCATCGACCACCACCCATTATATGCACCCGTCACAACCACCCCACCCACCAAAACCACCATACACCATCACCACTCGTGACCACCATCCTCACCCCTACCACCTCCATCCACCCACCACCACAATCCAACCACAACTAGCACCACCTATCACCATCATCCGTCTACACCACCCATCACCACCACCTGCTACCGCCACCTACCACTTACTATAATCATCACCACCACCCCATATGTCACGCATACAACCCTTCACCACCACTACCACCACCTACCACCTACCAACACTAAACATCATTACACACACACCACCACCCGTGGTTATGTGTATATAATCACTTGCGATTATGTGTATCTAATTACATACGATTATTGTCCATATAAATTATATGTGATTAGATACATATAATCAAATGTGGTTAGGTATATTTAATTGAATGTGATTAGATTTATTAATCACAAATGTCATTATTGCATTCTCGATTAAATAATTGTTTTTTTTATAACTTTAATCATATGTGATTAGATAAATATAATGTAATTATATGTTCCGAATCACATATGATTTATATGAACAATATTCATTTTTGTGTTTTCATTTCAGTAATTTTTCTCATATATTTAATCATATGTGATTATAAGTATTTAATCATATATGATTAATACGGACACATATTTGTTTTAATGTTCTTGATTCAATAGTTCTTCTCGTGTATATAATTACATGTGATTGTATATATTTTTCATCACATATGATTTATTGAATCAAGAAAGTGAAAAAAAATGTTTTTCATATAAATCATATGTGATTAAAGCGCAAAAATGAATATTGTCCGCATAAATCATATATGGTTAAATACATAGAATCACATATGATTATATGTACCTAATCACATATGATTTATATGGACAAGATTCATTAAAACTAGAATACCCTAAAGCCCATTCAAATATTCTAGTCTATTTGTTGTTCACGTGAAAGCATTGTACATTCAATTAGATCACCAACAGAAGCTTGGATTTTCAGGAACGAAACCAGCCAAAGCTCCATAACATCAAAAGTAAAACATAACAACAATGAGTGAAACTGTTGAAGTGTAATCTAGGCAGTAAGTTTCTTGCATTAATTCATTTTGATCCAACAGAAACAAACATTAGAATTGAACTTTCAAAAGCAAACCATAACTATACATCTACTTTCAAGAATAAGCCAGCACCAAAACCAAAACATTTTTGAAGACCGAAATTCCAAATCGATTGTAACCCCCCGTTTATTAAATAAATAAATAGACAAATTAATGAATGAATAGTAGCCCTAAAATCAATAATTATATAGCAAGGTGTTGGCCTCGAAGAGTTAACTGTCACAATTTTAAAGGTCGGGGGTTAAAAGTGTAAGTCTCGGATTAGTTTTGTAAATATTTATGAAGGCATGGACTACTTGGTAAATTATTGAGACTTAATTTGAAGAGATTTTGGAGGCTATGGGGTTGAATGGTAACATATGGACTTCACTTGAAAATAATTTGTAGAGGATGGGCTATTTAGTAACTGTTGGACTTAATATGAAAGGAATTATGGAGGCAGGGGTATGAACAGTAAATTATGGACCTTGTTTGAAAAGATCC